TTCTAGCTTTTTGCATAGCATTTTTAACACAATACAGTAGTGTGAAAACTTAATAATAGTGTCGCTAGTTTTTTTTTTTATTATTATTACTCAGAAGATTATACTGTCGTATTTGGTGCACACTTTCCATGTCTTCAGGACTAATGTTAATCTCTGGTAATAACTCATTTAGTCAATTTAGTTGAGAAAATATAGCCTGTCCACGTAATTCTTTTTAACCTAATGCTGCAACAGCAGTTGACATTCTCTAGATACAATCATATTGCACATAAAACTTGAGACTCTCTTTTCATTAGCTAAATTGTGGATGAATTCCTTTTGGTGACTTCTAATGTTTTATTTGTGGTGTTACCAATGTTTACTACAGTGGAGGACAACTTGGGGATTTCTTCTTGCAGTGGTTTAATTACTTTTGATCAATTGCTAAGCCTTTTTTCAACTCAGCAGACACTTCTGGTAGTGAGAAAGAGACATTACCCTCTTTGTGTTGTAAAATTTTGGGGGCCGTGATTCATTCTTCCTCCTCTTCTGAGGTCTCTTTCTTCTTAGAAAAGTAAGATGGCAAATTCTTTTTTTTAAAATCAGCTTTTGTTTTCTGGAACATACCACAACAATAAATTGTATCAGGAGACAGATGTAAGTGTTTCTTTTCACTGTATAGCTCAAATTCAAAAGAGAGCAAGAACAGTAGGACTTAGACATTATTTCTATCAGTGATGTCACTCCTTCCCCCCATGCTAACTACTATTAACTTTTAACATAGATCTTATGGAAGATCTATGTTAACACTAACACTAACTTTATCATGTTGGCAAAATAAATTTTGCCCTGAAATGTTATCCCAGACAACAATTAATGATATTAGCACTACTACTAACCAATAAAAGCTAACTCTCATCCCTAGAGCCAAGGAAACCCACCTCTCAGCTGATCTTCACCATATTCTACCTTACCAGTCACCCTGCCTGGAAATCCCTACCATAACATGAATGTAAGTGTGCAGTTAGCCCCAAACAAATCCTATTGCTAAATTTAACCATAGACCTCAAGGAAGCCTAACCCTAACCTTATCTCCCTCAGCTACTGGTACATTTTCTATCTTAAGAGTCAATTTTGTTTTTGTATCCACTGTTCAGTGCCCAGAGCTGTATATTT